TATACCTGAATTTCCTTGTACTTGTAGAAAAAAATTTACAATATGATCGAGAGAATATCACCATCGTGTTCAGCTTGAAAAGTTACCTAGACTCCATAGAAAATAAAAAACGTGATTGTAAAAATTTCCGCCCAATTGGTGACTTACACACATTGCACATTTTGCTAGAAATATGGATCTCGTAACCAGCCAATTCTGGAGATCCCACGTTGATTTCTATATAGGGTTGTAGTCCATTGAGAGTACTTTCTAATGATAACATCCAGCACCCCAGATGACCCGTATGTTGGGAGATAATCTACTCGGAAAATCGACATTTTTGCAAAAATGCCATTTTTTGAATACATGTTCTAGCCGAACGGATCAATCAAACTGACTGAAATTTTTAGGAGACGTAGATCTCTAAAGACTCTATTTACGGTAAAAAGTTCAGACTCCTATCTCATCCCCATCACAAGTTATGAAGAGTCAAACTTACCAAAAAAATTCCATTTCCCGTATTTTCGATGACTCATAATTATCGAATAGTACTATATTTTGGGACACAAATTTTATTACAGGTAGACCTCACGTAGTTGTGCTTCCATACGAAATTTGAGCTAAATTCATAAAGGTTTTGTCGAGATATGGTCAGATCTAGACCCCCTTGGAGAAGGTGGCATTTGTAGGGTTTTTCGTAAAACCTTCATAAAAAATAAATGGTTCAATGTTTTTTCAAAAATCTTTCACAGAAATGCTTAGAACTCTTGGCTCTATAACATATCATAAAATGAGCCCGATCTGATGACCTCGATTGAGCACCTTCTCCGTAGATCGGTCGTGGTCTACATGGACTGACTCATACACACATGTCATACCTGTAGTTTTATCAATTTAAAGAATGATTAAAATTAACCAATTGTTTTGTCTTCGTCATCAACTTTGTATATGGTTTAAAAATTATAGGATTCAATAGCTTTTGGTCTTTTTATCATGATTTTCACGTGATGTCTTTCAATAAAAGAAACAGTGCTGAAAGGTAATGGCATCTATATGAGAAAGTTAAAAGTCTATTTTTAAATAGAAACTAACTAAAATATGATTACATATATAAGAAAAAAGGAGAATAAATATCTTTAAAATAAATAATTTTAAGTCCAATAGTGGTGCGACGTGATCAAGAGTGCCAAATAACAGCGCCAGTAGAATTGTAAACTTGCAAATAGGGAGAAGTTGTATTGAACAATAATTTTGCACCCGAAGGGTTTGTGCCTGTTGCCCAAAGAGCTCCTTGATCACCATATATTACAACGTTTCCGTCTTCTTGAAATGAGAGAAAGCAACCTTTGCTGCAGGTTTTCACGCCGAGAGAAGTCTTCCACAATAATGTTCCTGTGCTAATGGCTCCACTGTATATAGCAAGATTTCCGTTATTCAACAAGGTAAGATAAATAGGCGTGGTACCTACCATTTGGCGGACAAAATTGCCATTGTTGAGAAGAAAGGAAGGATAAAAATCATAGGAAGAGGCCCATATATAATTGTTATTGCCATCAATGAAAGTGAAATAAGCACTCATACTAGAGATACGAACAGAACTAGATGTCAAGTTGCCGTTATAAGCAGGTGGCCATGAAATTAATATTTTTTTTTGTTTATATATAACTAATCGACCTTCACTAGTGAAGGTGAGTCTGCATTGTTTATTAGTGCAGTCAGTACAACAAGTATTCGATGCCCACAGCGGAGAATCCCCCTGATAGAGAACTAAATTTCCGTCAATTTGCAGGATGAAAATAGCATTTTGCAAATTGATTTGTTCATCGGAATATAAATTCAACTGTCCTGATTGATAGGTGTAAGTGCTAGAGAGACCTGGTTCTATACAGATGATGTACTGAGCTCTGCCCAAAACAAAGTTTGATTGAAAATTGCCGTCAGCTCTAGTACTTTTTAGAAATGCCATTGGAGGCGCATTATTAGGCGTGTAACAACTCGAAGTAAAAGCACCACTGTAATTCGCGGTAGAGATATTGTCTAAGACAGTAAAATTATGTGCACCAGAGACAATAATACCATAACCCATATTATCACCCTTAATTGTATTGCGACGAACTATACCATTGCGGTTGTAGTTTGTTTTATCTGCTCCCCACACAGCTGGGCCAATAGAAATACCTGTTTTAATGAATGCTGATTTAGCCCAAATAGTATTGTCCGTAACTGTAGCACCAGTATAATCTCCGGAATATTGATCATAATCTACCATGTTGATAGCACCCAGAATCACGCGAGATATAGCAATGATAGTATTGTTTTTGACTGTGGTAAAAGGAGCACCAAAAATCACAATAGCACCATCTGTAGCATCTGTAATTACATTGTTTGCAACCAAGCTACTTATGCACGCCATGGATATGCCATCTGCCCAATGACCAGCAGAATCGCCTGCGGGACCTATTTCATTGTTAGTAATAGTTGCATTCCTGCAACCACTTATTCCACTTTCGGTGATATGCAGACATGACCATCCTCGAGGTTCGTAGGAATGTACATGGTCCACAAGTTGGTTACTAGTAGGTCCTCCAATCTCAATATTCGCACTACCCTCAAATAATCCTAGAGCTGGTCTGTTACCATTCACTTGGATGTTTCGAAGTCTCAAACCAGAACATTGATCGCAGTTACCTATAATTGCAGCAGTCTGATTAACACCAGTGACAACAAGAGTCGCACGTGTAGAGTCTGTAGAATATCCTTGTGTAGATAATTCTTGATTAGGAGCTGTAAAAACGATTGGATTTTTCAGATTGAATACGCTATTGGCACAGAGAGATACTATGGCATTGGCACCTCCACTAGAGAGTAGATCATTAATAGTAGTTTCATCACCACTTAAGATACATGCTGTATAAGCCGTTGGAATTAGTGAGAGTACTCCAAGAAGAAAAGAATTGGTGTGAAGCAGAAAGAAAGTCATAATTGTTAAAATACTGTTGGCAATCAAGTTGGTTCAAACAATTATTAGGTCCCACATTCAGAAATAAAAAAAAATATCAAATAAAAAAATAATAATATTTGACTACTCGGCGATGATTCAATTCTTATCATGCAAAGAAGACAACACTTTCAAGGGTTCGTTTTGTTGCTGAGAACAAAAAAGACAAAAATTTTTCTAAAAACCCACCATGAATGAAAAACGCCTCTTGTTGAATAAAAGAAATGTGTTCTTCCCTTTTGTTTTGTTCTTTGATTTCTATTTCGACAGCTGACGAAAAAAACATTAAGCACTCAGGATAGTTTTATTTCCCCCCTTAATATATGTTATCTGCAAAAATCATACTCCGCGTGGGATCGTAGTTTTTAGTTTTACTGAAACATTTTATTAAGGGTGTAGGTGGGTGTACATTGACCAAAGGGAAAAAAGCCAGACTTCTTGCTTCACCGTACTTCACTTGTACTTCAGTCGTGAAGTGCGGATAACGCGAAATTAAAGTAAATTTTTATTTCGCTTTTTATACTTAGTTAGATAGAGCTCGCCGAACTGAGTAAGAATATATCTGTTTTAATATTTTTTCAAAAGGGTTTTGATTGGACAAGCTCACGCTTTTTCGATAACCTTCAATGGCCCATTTTTTAAAAGAAAATCCAACACATTCCTAAATTCTTAAAAGTTTTTTCAATTAAAAAAACACTTCATTTCGTTGGAATTTTCAAAATGAGATATTCAGATTTCTCATGAAAAACTCTGGCGATTGGACCTATTTTTGATTTTGTTTAGTGAAACTATGCTTATCAAGTGGATGAAGTCTGGCAGAAAGAAACACGTGAAAAAATGGTATGTCATGGAATTTTTTGCAAATCTATCCAGTTTCTTTTGCATCTCGAGGCATAACTGAGTTTCATATATCGTTAGTACTGGCAGACATTGGGCTTCAAAAGTATAGCTTTGGTTTTTCGAGTTATTGATGTATTGGAAATGAAGACTATTCAACTCTGGCTCAAGACCCAAAAAGCAGGAAATTCTGCCAGTAATTCGAGATTCTCTTTATCAAAAATCACTCGTTTTGAGAAACAAATAGTATACTCGCAATCAGCACAAAAAAGATGCGTCGACTAAGATAATTTCGTTTACCTCCTGAAGATTTCAATTTTTTGACAAATTTTGACCCCACCACATGGGTCTAGATTTTCATGAAAAAATGAAAATCAAGGAAACAAGTTAACACATATCTTAGTCAACGCAAGTGTTCTATGCTGATTGCGAGTATACTATTTGTTTCTCAAAACGAATGAGTTTTGATAAAGAAAATTTTGAATTGCTGCCAAAATTTCCTGCTTTTTGGGTCCTGAGCCAGAGTTGAATAGTCTTCATTTCCAATACATCAATAATTCGAAAAACCAAAGCTATACTTTTGAAGCCCAATGTCTGCCGGTACTAACGATATATGAAACTCAGTTATGCATTGAGATGCAAAAAGCTGGATAGATTTGCAAAAAATTCCATGACATACCATTTTTTCACGTGTTTCTTTCTGTCAGACTTCATCCACTTGATAAGCATAGTTTCACTAAACAAAATCAAAAATAGGTCCAATCGCCAGAGTTTTTCATGAGAAATCTGAATATCTCATTTTGAAAATTCCAACGAAATGAAGTGTTTTTTAATTGAAAAAACTTTTAAGAATGTAGGAATGTGTTGGATTTTCTTAAGAAAAGTGGACTATTGAGTGTTATCGAAAAAGCTTGAGCTTTTCTAATCAAAACCCTTTTGAAAACATATTAGACAGATATATTTTTACTCACCTCGAAGAGCTGCGTCTAACTAAATATAAGAAATAGAAAAAAAATCACTTTTATGTTGCGTTATCCGCACCTTACCTCACTCGTACTTTACTGTATTTCACCTTTACTTCATCGTACTTTACCGTACTTTACCGTACTTTACCGTACTTCAACGTACTTCACTGTACTTCAATCGTACTTGACCGTACTTCAGTCATACTTCACCGTACTTTAGTCGTACTTCACTGTGCTTTACTTTTACTTCAGTCATACTTCACTGTACTTCAGTCGTACTTCGCTATATTTCACTCATATTTGACATGATTAATTCTCTTCTTTTATTTTATTTTTAATTAATTTAATTTACTGTTTTGTTATTCATTATAATTTAATATTAATAATTTATTTAAATTTAAAATTTGTGACGTTTCGTATCTCGATGAGATACTTCTTCAGACATAAAAATCAAGACAAATGTACATAAGAACAAACAAAATTTTTCTTGTCTTTAGTATTAGTCATACTTTGACAGTGATACGTAAAACAAGACGGTAAAAGTGATAGCTAGATAGGGATCGAATCCTTTTCCGTATCACTATCAAAGTATGACTAATACTAAAGAAAAAAGTTTGTTTGTTCTTATGTACATTTGTCTTGATTTTTATGTCTGAAGAAGTATCTCATCGAGATACGAGACGTCACAAAAAGATTTTAAATTTAAATAAATTATTAATATTTAATTGAAATAAATAACAAAGTACTAAATTAAATTAATTAAAAATAAAATAAAAGAAGAGAAATAATCATGTCAAATATTAATTCCAGCTTCTTATCAAAACATGATTCACAGGAATAGTTCACTGTTATCAGGTAGGACAAAAACAAAAATTACCCTCGGAATTAGGGGAAAAAATGACTGAAGAGTCGTCGATAGGGATAAAAACAGTTACCGTCGGAATCAGGGACAAAAAGTAGCTAGCCGTCCCAATTAGGGACAACTTTTTTTTCGCTATCTCTGGGTGCCTGTATTCAAAGCTCTGTATCTTGATAAATGAAAATACAGTTGCTTTGAACCTTTAGATTATGATAGAACTAGATGCGCTCAACAAAAATGTCTCAGACATCTTCTCTTCATTTCCCATATAAAAAACGAAAAAAAATAGGTTTTTTTCTAAAGTTGAGTTTTTTCTATGTGATTTGTTAGAGGCGTCATAATTAGGGAAAATTTTTGTCTGGCCGTCAGGATTAGGGAACTACTACCTAATTCTGTCGGGTGAAAGAAATTTTTGTAGACCAGTAATTTCACTATGAAAACATGAAAAATGCAAGACCAACAATATATCGTTTGAAAGAGGAGAATCCAGAGATTAGCTAAATATAAAAATATTTTTGATCAGATTTAAAATAGTCGCACAGTAGTTGAAACAAAAAATGGTAAATTTTTTTCCGGCAGAATTAGGAAAATGTACTGTACCCGCAGACAAATGAGTATAGTGTTGGTTTGTTATTACTGATGATATTATTTGTCAGAGCGTTCTGCCGAATTAAAGTCTTTGTTGTTTTATAATGTTGCAAATAACAGTTTAAGTAAGTGGTTCTGTTTTTATAAATAATAAGCAGTGATAAAGATGATAAATGGCTGGTCGTTTTCGTTATAATAGCATAGGTAGAAGTACGATGTTGTTTTTCATTTATTAGCAACTTATGAAATTTGAAAAGTTAGGTTCCGCAATTGAGTTTATTTATCGTACATTAACATGGAATGTAATATTATTAAGAAAATTTTGATATTTCTAATTTGTCATTACCGCCCAGGTCAAAAAAGCACGACCGTAAACGATCGTATACGACGAAATACGTCTAGAAACGGTCATCGTATACGATGATCGTATACGATGGACGTACACGATGCCATACGTTCAAGTACGATCAACGTATACGTTGCAAATAAACAACTGTCATGCACGATTGTAGTATACGACCGTATATGGTCGTAACTTAGTCGTAGGTTTCTACATCGAGAAATCATATAGAAAGATCGGTCATGAATTTTTGTATGATTCTATCAGATCTTACAAACTATTGTATATGATCATACGATATCATACGGAAAATCATACGAAAAATTGTTGTCTCAGAAATCTGATGTCAAGTCTTACATCAAGTTTCTTATATGCTCCGGCAATAAAATCTTGTATGATTTTTTGAAATCGTCAAGTAAGATTATAAGTTATTTCTGTAACAATATGCGAGTTCATGACGTAAATGAATTACAAAATAATTCAAAATTTCTATACTAAATATTTATAGAAGTACATGCATGTAATTATAAGAAGTTTATTCTCATATACCAAAGTCTAGCAGGATCTACCAGGACCTCCAGGATCTACCATCATCTTCAGGATCTACCAGAGGCTACTAGGTTTTTGCGGCACCCCCACCGAAGAAGACGTGATGTAAGGCGTTTCGTCGCACCAACACCAAGAGAGACATGATGTAAGTCGTTTCGCCGCACCCACACCAAGAGACAGATGATGTAAGTTGTTTCGTGGCACCCACATTGAGACCGTAGTAGACCCTGGTAAATCCCAGCAGATCCTAGAGATCCTGGTAGATCCTGAAGGACCTGGTAGATCCTGGTAGAAAATAAAAAATTTCGAATTATTTTATAATTCAATTTTTTTGAATTACTTTGTAATTCATTTCCATCATCCAGTGCAATATGCTTTATTCGTTACACTCTACCTGCATCTAACTATTCTAATTCAAGTTAACTTCACATAAGCAAGAACAATCTAATTAATAAACGTAATGCAGACGTACCAACAAAGGGAATTATCATTAAATAATAAAAATTCATAACCAATTAGTCACAAAAAAGTCTGGCATAAAGAAATGTCCTCTCTATACTATTAATAAAGAAAACTAAGAAATAAAGTTAAGATTTTCTCTACGGAGAGTATAGAAATAGAAAAAAAGCGATGAAAATTTATATTTTCTATATTATTACAATAAAAAAATAAAAAATGAAACTAAGGGTAATCTATATTATCAATATAGAAAAAGGAATTACAAATGGGATTCTCTGTATTACTAATATAGAAAAATTAAAAATTAAAATTAAGATTTTCTATAAAATTAATATTCAAAAATAAGAAAAAAAGTTTAGGATTTTCTATATTACGAATATAGAAA